ACTGCAGAGAACAGAATGGGTCCACACCACAAAGTAAAATGAGAAATTTCAATGCTTGTAAGTAAAAACTACTGACGTTAATGTTGGAAAGAGTAAATCAAAGTGAACTCAGGAGGGCATACTATGGAAATAATTACTGATTCTGAAGTCCCATAGTAAACTGTAGAAACATCCACTAAAGGTGTAACAGGCATGCCTTCCTAAAAATAGCTGTCCATTCTTACATGCAAAAGGAAAAAAACCTATTTCTAAAACCAACTGATTTTTGAAGTATTTTAGGATGAAACCGTAATCACTTTATTCTCAGACTTGTAGAAGGAAATGCACACAGAACCGTGTTTAAGAAATTCAATTTGGATACTGTATTAACCAGTCTTATCCTCAATATTAAGGCTATAAAACTGTTGCCCTTTTAATATCCCTCAAAATGGGAGAAAGAGTAAGGGACAGATATGGTGGCAAGCGCAGACACCCAAAAAAAAAAAAAAAAGAGTCTGAGAGTTTTTCATTAAGAAAGAAAGCCTTAATATCTGGAATACGATGGGGCTGCATAATTGCGCAGTTAAGAAAAATCAAGTATTAGATCCCTTAAAAATGAGAACTACATTATTTTTAAGTGTAATTCTAAAATCAACCTGGGTAGGCCGGGTGCAGTGGCTCAGGCCTGTGATTACAGCACTTGGGAGGCCGAGGCGGGTGGATCACCTGAGGTCAGGAGTTCAAGACCAGCCTGACCAACATGAAGAAACCCTGTCTCTACTAAAAATACAAAATTAGCCCGGCGTGGTGGAATATGCCTGTAATCCCAACTACTTGGGACGCTGAGGCAGGAGAATTGCTTGAACCCGGGAGGCAGAGGTTGCGGTGAGCAGACATCACACCATTGCACTCCAGCCTGGGCAACAAGAGCGAAACTCCGGCTCAAAAATAAAATCAACCTGGGTAATAAAATTCTACACCAATTTTATCTTCAGTAAACGACAGCTAGTCACTATCTAAAATGTTTATTAACTATGAATATAAACATTTCTCCATTTTTCCTGAGATTATTCAAAAAAGTTGTAATATTACATCATTTTAGGTAGCAGGACAAGTATAATTACTTGAAAGAGTCAAAACACTGACCTTCAAATTTAAGTTTATGATCATTTCAAATTACTGGAAACAATTATATGAGATTCAATGTATATAATGGAGTAATGTCAAACACAGTTATAGTTTAATCTTAATTTGCTACTCTTAACTAGCAGTGAAATCGGGCTGTTAGTGCCCACCACTCACCAAATATAGGGAATAACATTCATCGAAACTGTGACCCCAGTCTTTTGTTTTATCTTTTTTGCTTTTCCCCTTGCCTGTTTCCCGTCTGCTTTTTCTCCAACGTAAAGCTGGACTGATTTCAGTGGATGAGACTACAGTAATAAGCAAATCTTTAAATGTTACCCTAAATGGGCTCTTAAAATAGAATGTAGCTTATCAAGATATAAGGTAACTGCCTGCAAGTTAGTGGCCTTCTACTCTCCAGTGGTGGTGTATAAACCCCTGAAAATTCAAATATAATCCTAAAGGCAGAAAGACTGACATTTAGGGGAAGGGAAAGGATGGATAAAAAGAACAATACTCAACCTACCAGCCTCCAAAGAGAAGTCATGCAATTGTGAACACATGTCAACCAACTGTTATTAATATTCCAGCCAAATCACACTGAAAACAAAAAATCTGGTAAGAGCTGTAGTGGAAAGCCACATTAGCCCACCTTTGAATGGTATATATATACACACACACACACACACAATTCTTATGAAAAGTCTATTTACAAATATGGTAGGTAAAAAACAAACATTTTTCCATAATACACAGTGCTGCTTAAAGAACTGCTTCAGACATCTCCAGAATATTTCAGTATAACATGCATGACATTTTAAACACAACATTTTATTTCAAGTAGTCTTCATATTTAGCCATTAAACTTAGAATTCCAACAAAAATATTTTTCATCTTAAATCAAATGCGAAGATTACAGTAATATTTTTTCTTGCTCGATATAAAAATATCGTTACTAATTGTTTAGCTTGAATTGCCAAACTGCAACTACATGCATTACCACAGACCAAATACCATGTAACGGCATCAGTTTTGCCCAAAGATTACACATGATGCCTAAAAAAGTATATATCCCAGGTACAAGCCTACTGTATGTACTATGGTCTAGAATTTCCTGGGGATCAATGGGCAACTAACCAATACACAGCCTCTGCATATTATGACTACTGAAACCTTTATAATACAGAAATAAAATTTAAAAGTTTTACCATTCTTCCCGCTGTGCCGTCGCTGCTTCAGAGTGTCGTGGGGAGGAGTTTGAATGGCTAGGGAATTAACAACCGGTACAGCAACCAATCAAAATTCTAGTTTTAGTTTTTGACACTGTTAGGGTTAAAAACTTTAATTCATTTACACTTCAGTTCAACAGTAGGTAACTATAAAGTCAGCTGCTTTGCGATTTGAATTATCAGGGCTAACAGAAAGCCTGCCCCAAACAGAAAGTTATACAATTAATCATTTTGGTGCCTCTGTCCAAAGAACAGAATTCAGCAAACGAAAACCAAAATGTTAAAGATTTTAAGTTTCCAAATATCTAACATCTTCCTTTCTCAAATAAGCTATATACAATTCGAGTTAGATCTGTTTAATTTTTAAAAGTTTGTTTCCCTTCCCACCACCACTCCCCCAAAACCAGCACTATCATCAAACAGCCTGACAAGAATCTGCCTAGGCTGGGTTTAACCCTATATTCCAAAGTGCTTCTCCCCTCCCCACTCTCCCTCCAAATCCTGGGCTCTTTCTCAGTAAAGGGAATCGTGTTTTCTAACACTGGGTTAAAGCGACATCTTACTGTTATATCCATCAACATCTTTCTCTTTACAGTTTAAAAAAAAATTCAGACACACACACACCCCTCCCCATTACAAAAAGGAATGGAAGCGTGAACCCACGATCATCACTCAGTAATCGGAGCTAAGAAAACTCAACCAAGAACCCCGATTTAGTCCCTCCTGCTAACTCCCGTATTATGTTCCCAATCCCAAATGCTGCATTTTAATACACTAAATGCAGATTTAGGTAGTATATACAACTGTTATTTCAATCAGAGGAAGCAAGTTAATACTAAGAAATTTGCACCAAAAAAAAAAAAAGTATCCCACAGCACAATACAGGATTTGTTTCTCTTGAGAGGACTATAGGCCTCCCTTAGTGGGCGGGAAAGAGAAATCAAGACACCAAAATAGGATCCTGGGCACCGGGAAAAAAGGGGACTGGAGGTTGTAAAAAATTAGGTTGCACATAAAAAGTAAGTTACAATCTGTACTAATAGTTGGGGAACCCAATAGCTGAGGGCGCGAAAAGGGTGCGCGGTTAGAATAACTCAGGGGGGTGGGGGAAGGGTAGACACTAGGCCGGAGATAGGAACAGCTCCAGTCAAGTGCAGGCCCCATCGACTAGGAACTTAACCTGAGCCCGCGGAGCAAAACCAACGTACCAACAAGAAAGTCGCAGCATTTCACCGGAGCTCATTTGGTCTGCACGTCAAAATATAGGGCCTAAATGAACATGCCATTGTGCGATAGCGTATGGTGAAGAAAATGAGTAAGTCCTTAGGCAAACTTATTCAAAATCCCAAGAAAACATTCGGTCTGAGGCCGACAAGGGAGAGGCAGAAGTGGACAGCCTACGCGTTCCCCAAAACATGCGCTTATAAACAATCGCATCGTTTCAGGATGGTGGAGAAGCACCAAATAAACCTTAGCAATACAAACAGGGAAGCTTTTTGTGTCTCTCTGCGTTTTTATGCCCAAGACTTTAGAATTTGGGAAAAAGAGGGGACAGCATGGAAAGAAAAAAAGGTACCCCTCGACAGGCGGGAAAAAATCCTGGCGGCTAAGTCGGTGGGAGGAGACCCATGGCGAGGGAGGAAAGGAGGGCGGGCCGAGGAGCAGCATGGTGACGGCTAAAGGTGGAAACGTGTGTGATGGGGGAGGGGGGCGATAAGCAGGCAAAGGAAGGAGGAAATGAAGGTCCGGGGAACCCAACATAGAAAAGGGGACACCAGAACAAGAAGACTACATGGGGGCCCGGAGAACGGGCTGAGAGCGGGAACCAGGCCTAATGGCGGGGGAATGAGGGGGAGGGGGACTAGTTGGGCCTGACTATCCTGGGCTGCCCCTTACTCACCCTTCATCCTCCTCGTTCTTACTGGCGTCAATCTTCGCCCCCTCCGACTCGGCGCTGCCCCCTTCGGTGCCTCCAGACGCGGTTCCGCCCCCGGTCCCGGCTCCGCTTCCCGCCGCCGCCGCTGCCCCCTGTGTCGCCGCCACCATGGCTCCCTCCTGCTCGCCCGCCGAGCCGCCTACCGCCGCCGTTGCCGCCGCCGCTGCCCCGTCCCCGCCGAACTGCTCCTCCGACATAGTGCTAGTGTCTCCGCCGCTGCCGCCGAGACTACACCCGCCGCTGCCGCGAACCGAAACTAGCAGCAAAGTAATCCCCGCCGCTGCCGCGCGCCCGCTCTACCTCGCGAAGCACACAAGACAGGGAAGGCGCGCGCGTGGCTGCAAAGGCTCCTGCGCCTCTCCCTGGCCTGCCCCCTTCGCCTCCCACTCTCGCGCGGCGCACACTCCCGCTCTCTCCCGCTGCACTAAAAAAGAATAAGCACCAGCGGCGGCCGCTCTTGCCTCCTCCTCGCTTTAATGGCGCCGCCGCGGACCACCTAAAATGGCCGACGGAAGAACGGCGCGTCCCGGTCACGTGATGCAAGAGCGCGCCCTTCGCGCGTCCCCCCCAACCCTCTCCCCCTAGGTTTTTTTTTTCCCTTTCCTCTTCGGTCCCGCCCTCTCGCTCCCCTTTATACCTTCCTCTCACGCTCGGCGTCTCACAGCCTGTGGGGGCCTTTAAAAGAAACCGGAAGTGTCGTGAGCTAAGACGGTCGCGCGGGGACCATCGAGAACAAGGAGTGCTGTTTCGAAGTAGCGGCTAGAGGGGCCCCCTGCCTCCGCCCCCGCCCTTCCGAGGATTCCTGGAGTCCACTCACCCCTCCCCAACACTCCAGTAGCAGGCGGGAGCAGCAGCATCAGGCCGGGGTGTGGCTGCACCTCCGCGAAGGCGGCAGTTCCCCGTGCAGCTGCGGCGTTCAGGTGGGGGAGGGGAGGCTCACACCCTGCGGCGGCTTAAGCCTGGATGTACGCATTCGAGGAGGGAATTAGCCCGGAGATGTCAGCCCTGTGCCCCTGGCTCTGTCCACCCGGACGCCTGCGGAGCGCCAGGCGCCGCAGCGGACCGCGCGCGCACTGATTGCCGCAACTCCTCTTCCTGCCGTCGCCGCCTGGGACCGGGTGACATTGAGGTTTTCGTCTATCGCCGCTGGGCCGATAGGGCTTCTTTTTAAGATTTGACTTTCCAAGTAAGATTTTTGTTTGCCTGCTTTTCTTCTGAATTTTTTTTTTTTTTTTTTTTTGGTCGAAGAAGCAGGTAACTTGCATATCTTAAGGAAAACATCGTTTTTGCTTTGCTTTTGTTGTTTAAAGATCCTAAAAGGTACCGTGATTCCTTTACGTCAATTGGAAAGTGTGTTAAATCAAGGGTTCGCTTAATGTTCTTTAGTCCTACATAGGATATATAAATGTCGTGAGTCATCTTTACGAGCTTTATGAGTTTGTGTTCGGGTTTGGGTTTTTTTGTTGTGTGTGGTTGTTTTGTTTTGTTTTCTTGTAACACCGTTAGGCGTTTCACTAAGGTGTATAAAAAGTAATTTTATACACCTATTAAAAATTCCCGATGCCTCGGCTGGAGACTGGATTATTCGGGCTTTGGGATTTGCTGCTTCCAGCGGTATCCTTAGAAGAAAATGAAGCTTTTAGGTACTTCGGTAGTCAACAAATAATTATTTGCCTGTTTAGTAAGTGTTCGGGCACAGGGGAGACAAAGACGAGTTTGCAGAATCCAGCAAAAACCTTAAGAGTTTAAGTATTTGGGCCGGGCGCGATGGTTTACGGCCATAATCGCAGCACTTTGGGAGGCCGAGGCGGGCGGATCATGAGGTCAGGAGTTCGAGACAAGTCTGACCAACATGGTGAAACCCACGTCTCTACTAAAATTACAAAAATTAGCCGGGCGTGGTGGCGGGTGCCTGTAATCCTAGGTACTCAGGAGGCTGAGGCAGGAGAATGGCTGGAAGCCGGGAGACGGAGCTTGCCGTGAGTGGAGATCGCACCATTGCACTCGCCTGGGCAACAGAGCGAGACTCCGTCTCAAAAAAAAAAAAAAAATTAAATATTTGTTTTTCCACTGTAGTTAAACGAATTTGTATTAATTGGGCACTATCCAAAAATCTTAAAGGAAGATTATACATAAGTTTTCTTAATCAAATTAGTAGAATTTACATTAAAGAATAATTAAAACTTAAGAATACAGGTCAAATTCTGAAAACGTCCTAAAGATATAACTTACCAAACTCCTGTAATAGTCAAGTCATGTAAAGATAATACCAAGAATGTTTATCTTAAAGTGGTAGTGACTCCACATTTGTCTCCACCTGCCAGAATATTAGCAAAGGATAAAGTGGGTATGGTGCTGAAACGTATATTTCTGGTTAGAAACAACTAAGATGATTGACTGAAGGGAAGTCTGTTTAATCTTTCTGGCTTCAGGCGAGGGTAATTATCATTTATTTTGATCTTAAGATATCATTAGACATACCCACCTTTTGGTAATAGTGACTTTTTCAAAAGGTTCATCTTGATTTCCCATGTAGCTTAGGAGCTTCTGGAATTCTTAGAATTTATGTCAAAAATTCCAGACAACCTAGGAATGATTTTAAAGCTAACAACTTTACTATATGCTTTAATGAGGATGTATGATGTCTATATCACCGATAGCTCTTCGTATTATGGCCAAGATCTCTACATCCAGGATGTGCACCTGCATCTACGCTATATTCCTCTTGGAACTCACTTAACTTCTGGCAGACGTAGTGACTCACGCCGGTAATCCAGCACTTTGAGAGGCCAAGTCGGAAGGATTGCTTGCCTCCAGGAGTTGGAGATCAGCCTGGGCAACACGGTGAGACCTTGCCTCTACAAAAACTCAGAAAATTAGCCTGGCGTGGTGGTTCCTGTTGTTCCAGCTACTCCGGAGGCTGAAGTGGGAGGATCACTTGAACCTGGAAGGTGGAGGCTGCAGTGAGAAAAAGGCAGAGTGAGACCCTGTCTCAAAAACAATTGTTACTATTTATGTGAAGTCTTCCCAGGCTTCCTGAGGCAGAATTAATCATCTCTTTTCACAGCCCTTTATCTTTACCTCTGTTATTCTTAATTGTTTTCTACTAGACCATGAGTTCTTAAAAAACAGTGTCTTCTATGTATCCCTCCCTCCCTAACACACTGTCTCTCTCTCACACACACACACACACACACACACACAGAGCAGCAATATATCCACACTATATAATTGCCAGTTGAATTATTGAATGACAAAATACTGGGTATGTCCAACTTGCTAGGCTAAGGGGCTTTCAAGCACACTAGGTGTTCTTCCAGGGACTTGAAAGTCTCCACACCATCTCATTTCATCTCTGGCATTAAAAAAAAAAAAAACAAAAAACCGCTTTTGGCCAGGTGCTGTGGCTCATGCCTACAATCCCAACACTTTGGTAGGTCAAGGAGGGAGGATTGCTTGAGCCCAGGAATTTGAGACCAGCCTGGGCAACATAGCAAAACCTGTCTCTACAAAAAATTTTAAAAGTCAGTTCCTGCCCACCCAGGGGTGCGTTGGGTTGTGTTTAACCTGTTTCTGTTGCCGGGTGTGGTGGCTCACGCCTGTAATCTCAACACTTTGAGAATCCGAGGTGGGTGGATCACTTGAGGCCAGGAGTTCGAGATCAGCCTGGGCAACGTGGTGAAACCGCATCTCTACTGAAGATACAAAAATTAGCTGGGCATGGTGGCGCACACCTGTAATCCCGGCTACTGGGGAGGCTGAGGCAGGAAAATTGCACGAACCCAGGAGGCAGAGGTTGCAGTGAACCGAGATTGCACCACTGCACTCCAGCTGTGCAACAGAGTGAAACTTTGTCTCAAAAAAAAAAATTACCTAGGTGTGGTGGCCTGAGCCTGTGGTTCCAGCTGCTCAGGAGGCTGAGGTGGGAAGATTGCTTGAGTCCAAAATTCAAGGCTGCAGTGAGCAGTGTGATCATGCCACTTCACTCCAGCCAGGACGACAGAGCAAGAGCCTGTGTCAAAAACAAAAAACAAAACAAAAAAATGCTTCTTCAAATGACTTGCTGATGTACGAAATTTCTGGAGAATTAAATAAAACTGTTGATTAACACATTCATAGGTAACAATTAATTGTTTAAGTGGCTGGAGATGCTGTATTGGACTTGCCCCAAATGCTAGAAGGAAGCAATATCCCCTGTCAATGTACAGGGCATGAACTGTTCCACTGCTTCCGGAGGTTCCCAGTGTGTTTCAGATAACACACTAAAATGCTGCATCATCATTGAATTTAGCCTTCGTAAAGCAATTATTCTCTGCAGCAAAAACTAGAGTTCTTATAAAAGGCCAAAAATGAAGTCCATTTGAGAATTAAACTGGAATCACTTTTACCTAGAACAAGATGCGTACACCTAAGCCAAGGAAATCGCAGTTTTCACCTGCTAGATGCACTCTACAAACGCAGCAGGAGGTTTCCCTATGTTCAAATTTTTAAAGTATTAGTAGGATACGTATGCCAGTTGGCAACCTGGAATAAACAATGTGGAAGAAACAGCCGAAGAACCCATTTTTTAATACAAGGTACACATACTTGAGCTGCTTCTACAACCATGTTAAACAGCCTATAACCTATCTGGACCTATTTGCAGAACACCTTCAGTGGGATTTAAGCGTTTTGTTGGAGAGTTAGTTTGTGATTTTACGTGAAGTGACCAATTGCCCATGCAGTGAACATTCTCTGTCATCTCCCTTGGTTATCAGGAAGCTTCACTTTATTCAATAAATAAAAGCCCTATCAACTCTGAAAAGTCAGGTTTTACTTCAGCAGTAAAGTGTAATACTGTAGTCAGTTCTCCTTACTCATGAGGATGTCAATAGTTTGCTTTTAGATACGGTTTTTTGAAACCTAGCTAAAAGAATTCAGACAAAGCTGATCACATGCCTGTAGTCCCAGCTACTCAGAAGGCTGAGGGAGGAGATTCCCTTGAACCCAGTAGTTCAAGCCCAGCCTGGGCAATAGAGTGAGACCCCCATCTCTTTAAAAAAGAAAAAAGAATCAAATAATAAGGAAATACACTGCTCTCACTCCAGACCTACATATCCAGCTGCCTATTTGACATCCCCACTTGAATGTTCACAGGCATCTCAAACTTTAGATGTTGAAAACTGAACTCTGCTTTCCCTACAAACCTGCTTACTTGGTCTTTCTCTTCTCAGTAAATGACGTCTCCACCCACCCATATGTTCCTGCCAAAATCCAGGGAATCATCTTTGATATCACCCCTCCTTCACCCCCCACATCCAATCAATCACCAACTCCTCCCACCTCCAAAATATATCTTGATTCATCTAAATTTTTCCTAGAACATAAATACTGGGGTAATTTCTAGATAGCTATTCACATTCAACCATGCAACACATTAATGACATGTACATTTCTAGTGCTGGGAAATATAAATGATCAAAATAGGCAAGGTCTCTGGCCTCATGGAGCTGACATTCTAGTGGCAGAGACAAAGGACAGACAAAATAGATATGTAATGTAATTTTAGGAAGTGATAAGAAGAAAAAAAATGCTAGACATACGGTATGTGCTATAGGGCAGTCAGAGGAAACTTCAAGGAAATAACTTTTCAAGTAGCACCCTGAAGAAAGTAAGAGAGAAAGCCATATACTTAACTTAGGGAAGACTTTACAAGGCAAAGGGTACACCTGAGGCAGGAGTGTGATTTGTGCTTGCAATGAAAAATGGAGTCCAGTGTGGCTAAAGTGAAGGAAAACAAATATAATAGATCATACCTGAGAGGTATCCAGTAATGAGGTTACTCAGGGTCTTGTAAACTGGTTAGCACTCTACTTTTATTATCAAAGTCATGAGAAACAATGGAAGGGTTTTGAGCAGATGAAGAACATGACCTGACTTTAAGTGGAAGATTATGGATGCTGTGTGGACAGTGGACTGTGGGAGGACATCAGGGAGATGAGTTAAAAGGGCACTGTCATGAATGGAGTTTTTTTTTTTTTTTTTTGAGATAGGATCTCACTCTGCTGCCCAGGCTAGAGTACAGTGGCACAATCATGACTAACTGCAGCCTTAACCTCCTGGGCTCAAGTGATCCTCCCACCCTCAGCCTCACAAGTAGTTGGGACCACAGGTGGGCACCACCACACCTGGCTAATTTTTGTATTTTTTGTAGAGATGGGGTTTCGCCATGTTGCCCGACCTAGTCTTGAACTCCTGAGCTCAGGTAATCTGCCTGCCTCGGCCTCCCAAAGTGCTGGGATTACAAGCGTGAGCCACCGTGCCGGGCCATGAATTGACTATTTTTTTAGCCTTTCTTGGTTAATTTCTTCTGAGAAGACAAATCTACAAAGAGGGTGTTATTTACACGTGGTCATGTGACTGTTTTTCCTAGAAAGATATTTTTCTACAAAGAAAAATCATGCTCTAATGACAATAAGGGATCATTCAAAATTAAATAAGACTTGAATTAATATATATTGATCATATTTCCAGTAAAAACTCAGACTAGTATTTTCATCCAATGCAATATTTTTTGCTTCATTTTCTACCCCTTTCTGAAGTTCTGGAATGAGATTTTGATTCGCTACCGCAGGTAGGGTTTGTTCATAATGTCACAGGATCCTTTGGGTGTTGCTTTGCTAGCTGGAAACCTCTGCAGTTGGTGGTTTAGCCTCTGCTACAGTTTTGCTCACGCCCTCTGGGCATGAGCTTGGCCCAGCAGGCTGCACTCCACTTGCACTACCAGCCCAGATCTCATGCCTGCCAAGGGTGAGCCAGGCACGGAGCAGCGAGGGGTGTGTGAGTGAGTGATGCAGTCCGGCCACTGTGTACAGTCAGGCACACCGGCTGCTACAGCAAGGTCGGCAGCTCCAGGCATCAGCACAGGCACTGGCTCCATGCGAGGCTGCAGCTGGACAAGACGTACTGCAGGTGGTTTCCACTGCAGGCATCAGCGTCTGGACAAGGGCAACACAGTGGCACCGGAAAGCTCAAAGACACCAGGAACCACAGAACCCCAAAGGGGGTGTTACAGCATGTCACAGCCCTAGCCCAGAACCCTGAGGTCTGGGCTCCCAGAAGGGTCACAGCTCTTCTCTCTTGTCACCCCCAGTGCGGAGAGTGGGGGGACATATTTCAGCCCATTTGTGTTACAGCTCTTTCAGTCCTGCCACCCCGCTCCAGCCTGCAGCTCCTGCACTGGCCCAGCCCCACCACTGCTTACTATTGTGTGGGGCAGCTGCCCAGTGCCAGCAGAAGGCAGGAAGGCTATAGAGTTACAGCTCTGACTTGGGGAATCATGAGGTCTGGGCCCCCAGAAGGGTTGTCACTCTTCACTACCACAGTCTGGGAGAGTGTCACTGCCCGCAGCTCGGTGAGCCAACCAGAAAAGTGTTATAGCCCCTTTAGCTCCCACCCGCAGCCACAGCTCCTTCCACTCCCACCATTTGGCAGGTCCCAAGTTCTTGTCCTACATGCGGAAGAATGAGGTTATGCGGGCAACTGGAGGGTAAGCAAGGCGGAGAAGAGCTTTATTGGGAGATCAAACAGCTCTCAGTGGAGAGGAGACCTGAAGTGGGTATCTCCTATCCGCAGGCAGGCAGTCCTGACCAGGGTCTGAGTATAACTGAGTCCAGGGTTTTTATGGGCTCAGAATGGAGTAAGTGCATGCTGATTGGTCATGGGCAGGAGGAAGTGCATGCTGACTGGTCCATGGGCAGGCCTGGAAAAAGGTGCCTGGCCTATCCAGCCACTTTTAAGGTTCTTTTAGCTGCTAAGTTTATAATTGTCCCACTTCGTTTGCAGGAGTTGCAGTTCAAGAGAATAATTATTGAAAGAGAATACAGAAGAGTCAGGGTTTTCAGATTAAGGTTCAATTTAGAAATATTGAAAACCTAAGAACATGTTTGGGAAAGTGTCTCTGCCCTGTGGCTCTTTGGGGCCTTTTCCTTTGTTGCAGTGGCTCTCAGTTATTTGATATTCCTTACTCCATAAGAGCTGCCTCCAAATAATCGCTTTCTCATGCCAGGGCTGAGAGTTCTCAGGCTCTCAGACTCAGTACAATTGCTTAAAAGTCACACTTCAAATATAGTAACACATAATTAGATAGTACCTCTGTAGGAGGGGTTTTTCTGTTTAATTTCTATCCTTGATGTTTTGGCTACTATAGTAGACATTTGCTACTTGGGGCTCCCCAGCATCAATTTTTCCTTGTCTTAATAATAAATAACAGAGGAGAAACAAGTGGAGCAAGAGGAGGGAATAAAGAACAGCAAGCCAGCTCATCAGAATGAACTCATCACCACTGGGAGCATGCACAGCCCCTAAGTCAGCCAGTCACATTTGAAGAACTTCCCTTTGATTTTTTGTTTTTTTGTTTGTTTGTTTGTTTGTTTTTGTTTTTTTTGAGAAAGAGTCTTGCTTTGTCACCCAGGGTGGAGTGCAGTGGTGCAATTTCAGCTCACTGCAACCTCCACCTCCTGGGTTCAAGCGATTCTCATGCCTCAGCGTCCTGAGTAGCTGGAATTACAGATGTGGACCACCACACCTGGCTAATTTTTGTATTTTTAGTAGAGGCAGGGTTTTGCCATGTTGGTCAGGCTGATCTCTAACACCTGGCCTCAAGTGATCCACCCACCTCAGCCTCCCAAAGTGCTGGGATTACAGATCTGAACCACTGTGCCCAGCGCCCTTTGATTTTATTTATTTATTTATATATTTTAGATGGAGTGTCGCTCTGTTGCCCAGACTGGAGTACAGTGGCCCAATCTCAGCTCACTGCAACCTCCGCCTCCCGGGTTCAAGCAATTCTCCTTCCTCAGCCTCCTGAGTAGCTGGGATTACAGGCGCCCACCACTATGCCTGGCTAATTTTTGTATTTTTAGTAGAGACAGGGTTCCACCATGTTGACCAGGCTGGTCTCAAACTCGTGACCTAGTGATCTGCTGGTCTTGGCCTCCCAAAGTGCTGGGATTACAGGCGTGAGCCACCGCACCCGGCCCCCTTTTGATAGTTGAGTGAAGAAATACTCTCCTATTGGTCATAAACAGAGCATGTAGCTAAGGGAACCAGCTACTAGCAGCCATTTCACAACAGAAAAATCCCTATGAAGACAGAAATCAAAGAGCAAGGAAGAGTTACTGAGATGTGGTAGACAGGATACCAGGTCATGGTCACATTCTTTGAACTACCGGATCAACTTCTCCCTATAGCTATCTCTGCCTCTAGGCTTAGTCACATGATTCAATACATTCCCTTTATCATTTAAGGTAGTTTGGCCAGTTTATTTCTCTAAATCAAAGGTATCCTAACTGATTTGTTGGTTGTCAACTTTGCATTATACCGCCCATCTCTGCCTTGAAAAGGAGAAACCGGGAACATTTCCTAGAGTCCCCTTCCTGTTATGATTCCAAGTTAGGATCATGCCAGTGAGTGGTGCTGTTTTAGTCCCTTTTGCCTGCTATGACAACATGACACAGACTGGGTAGCTTATAAACAACAAATTTATTTCCCACACTTCTGGAGGCTGGGAAGCCCAAGATCAAGGTACTGGTAGATTCTGTGTCTGGTGAGGGCTCATTTTCTGATTCATAGATGGCACCTTCTCAGGAGTCCTCACATGTGGAATTGATAACGCAGATCTCTGGGATCTCTTTTGTAAGGGCACTAATCCCATTCATGAGGGTTCATAATCTAATCACCAATCAAAGGCCCCATTTCCTACTACCTTTATCGCAGGAGTTAGGATTTCCACATGACCTCTGGGGAGACACATTCAGCCCATAGCAGGTACTCACAACAGAATACGAAGGCAAAGCAAGGAAGCTTTTATTCTCGGGATGTGGAAGCATCACCCACTTCTCCCAGTAAGTTGTGGCCATTTTCAGTTTCTCAGTTTCTCCTCCAGCTCCCACTTTGCAGTTGTGTCAGCCAATCACAACAGCTTCCCAGACTTCCATGCAAGCTTCTGCTTTGAGTCCAAGGTGGCCATAAATGGCAGCTCCTCAAGCTCCTCCATAGTCTCTGGTTTCTTACGTTTCTCCATGAGCTCAGCTTTTTGATTGACTCCAATGCTTCAAGCCAAAGTCATTAGTGAATGTTCTACAATCTTTCAATGGCAACTCCAGACCTTCACTCCTCCAGCTTCTCCTACATCCATCTAACCCTCAATTCCTGCATTAAATGTCTTTGTTCCAGAATACTTGCAGTGACTGTTTTCTCACTCTACCCAGTTATTAGTAAGAGAAGTGGTTTCCAGGAAGCTACACTTTAAGGATAAAAATTTTCTGATCCCATTGGATTTAAAGGTATTAATGACTTCATTGCCAGTGATAATGGCATTGGTGGTCCATGGCATACAGTGGCAAAATAGTTACTACCTTGGATGACCAAGAAGTTGCTGCAATAGGATTATATAATGGAAATAAAGGGTACAAGGGTTGTGGAGTGGGTTGACTATTTCAAAGTACACCGGAGAACTTAGAGAAAGAAAAAGATAAGCTTAAGGCTTTAAATTACTACTTCAAGGCCTGGACAAGAAACCAGAATGTTTCTTATCTGCCTGGAAAAAAAAATCTTGGCCGGGAGCGGTGGCTTATGCCTGTAATCCCAGCACTTTGGGAGGCCAAGGCGGGCAGATCATAAGGTCAAGAGATTGAGACCATCCTGACCAACATGGTGAAACCCTGTCTCTACCAAAAATACAAAAATTAGCTGGGCGTGGTGGCACGCATCTGTAGTCCCAGCTACTCGGGAGGCTGAGGTGGGAGAACCGCTTGAACCCAGGAGGCGGAGGTTGCAGTGAGCCGAGATCTCACCACTGCACTCCAGCCTGGGCAACAGAGTGAGACTGTCTCAAAAAAAAAAAAAGAAAAGAAATGAAAGAAAATAAAATCTTGCCTTATATAGTTACATGGTCAAGATTTTTTAAAATTGAACCCCAATTCTGACCATACAGATGGCTGAATTATAAAGCAAATGGAATTAACTTACACGATCTCTTAGGCTGAAGTTAAGGTATTGATCAGGAAACAGTGAAACTTTGGAAATTAGAGTTTGAACAAATTCCAGTGAACCAGAGGACCCTGAACCTCAAAATTCTGCCAAGCCTTCATTGTGAACAAACATTCTTCCTCTACTATGGTAGACAGAATAATGGCCCCCGAAGATGTCCACGTCCAAATCCATAAAGTCTGTGAATATACATCTTTACATGGCAAGAGGGACATTGCAGATTCCTGAGATGGAAAGATTATCCTAGATTATCCAGGTGGGCCCAAGGTAATCATAAGGGTCCATGTAAGAGGGGGACAGGAGGGTCAGGGTCAGATTACAGTAGGAGAGATTGAAGGTGCTGCACTACTGGCTTTGAAGATGAAGGGAGAAGGCCACGTGCCAAGGAATGCTGGTGGCCTCTGGAAGCTGGAAAAGGCAAGGAAAGAAATTCTCCCTGAAAATCTCCAGAATAACGCAGCCCTGCTGACACCTTAATTTAGTCCCATGAGACCTCCAGAACTGCAAAATAATAAATGGGTTATTTTAAGTTACTAAATTTGTGGTAACTTGTTACAGCAGCAATAGAAATCTGGTCCATCTACTGCTATAGAGATTAGTCTTTCCTTGCCTAAAGAACCTGTGATGACCATTCCTGAAGTAGCTGCTTTGCAGAGCAACACTGATGTGCCTTCAGACCCACGCCTATCACCTCTCATGTCATTGCTTCTAGATGAATAACTAGACTCGAAACCAAACTCAAATCCTTGGTGACCCCAAAAGAACAAGTACATTGCATAATATTCTATATTGTTGACCGTAGTTAAACACATTCAGAAAGTGATTTGTAAATATTGCTAAAATATATTTTTTTGGCGGGGACACAGTATTTGTTCACAGGGACTAGAACATGAGAAGTAGCTTTTGGGTCAGCTGATAGCTTAACTTCATAGCTAGCTGGCAGCCTAGGTAACATACAGCTTTATTTCTGGGGGCTGATTTTTTTCCCTTCATATTACACCATGGTTGTAAGATGATGATAATGATCCGGTAGAAAGAGAAAAACTGGTGATGTAGGGGTAGAGGTTGGGGGATACTTGCAGAAGCCAAGTTCTTAAGTAGCTGAGAGGAGATGGAATCCAGCACACAAGGTGAAGCAGAGACAGTTCATGTGTTCTATAGGAAGGAAGGAAGCTTATGTGAACTGATGTAACTCAATTAGTAGGTTTGGTGTTAAACATAATCAGTTCTGATTCCTTTCATTTTTCTCAGTTAAGAAATCTGTCATTAGCTGAGAGTGTGGACAGGGGAGGAGATTTAAGGATATTAGAGAAAGAGGAAGAGCAAATTCACTAGCCCCAGTGAGTTCAAGGCTAATAAAGATAACAGAAAAAAGACAGGACCCACACAGAGCCTTGCTGAGTACTATTAGAAATCTGCCTCTCAGATCTGAGAACCACTGCCTCCAGAAACCTCTGGCAGGATATCATTGATTTATCTTTTTAGGTTCTGGTCATTTAAGCAGTTACAATCTATCTTCTGGTCTCTTCCAACCCACTCTCATTTCTCCACCTTGATCCTGAGGGCTCCTGAGAAACCCAGAAAGTAAAATATCTTTTGAGTTGTGTACCAAAGCGTGACTCCCTTCTCTGAACTCTTCTCCTAACCAGATGTGGTCCCTCGCAGCCAATTTTACATGACCCCACCCCCATCTCTCTTGCCATTGCCAAGTCCAGTGGTGGACACCTGACCCAACCTTGTCAATTGG